AAATGTTCTACAAAACCTGCTGTATTCACAGTTGCTGTGCCTGTATGGTTGCATAACTTTTCAAAAAAGTTCCAGCCTTAAGTGCTTTTTAATCAAATATTTCCTAATGGCGTAGGTCTGCACTTTCCTTTTCTGTTGGCAATGCTGAGATTTGCCTGTGGATTGTTGCTCAAAAGTTAAAAACATTTAAACTTTGTGACCCTGTGTTCTGGCCCTGCATCTTCCTTGCGCATCCCATTTAAAAATAGTGTGTTTGAAAGCACAGTGATACATTTTCCACATTCAGTGTGAAAGCAGTTTAACAGACACATGCACTCACAAATGTGCTGTAGAAAGAGAATCATATCTCTCTCTCAAGTCTCACATCAGTATTTCCATTCATTTCTTTTGTTTTAGTCATTTAAAGCTAATGGAACAGAATGGAAGCCTTTTAGGCATAACAGGAGATTCTTAAAGGGGAGTCATACAAATTCTCAGAATTTCTGCATAATTAAGTGGTTGAGATGTAAACAGTCATTCGGATTAGTTTGATCTGAAATGCTCCGTTCTAGAGAAACTTACAGTTAGAGTCAGAATTGTTCACAGTGGTGAGGAATCAGACGTTTGGAGATCTGAATGCACCTAAAAGCTTCCTTGCAGCAAGTTATTACATAAAATAATAGATAGATTGCAGATGCCTGAGACACTGAGTGCGTTTACATGCACTCAATACTCCGATCATAATCGGATTTCTGCAGTTATCTGATAATTTAAATGGTCATGTAAACAGCACACTCTGATTTCTTAGATCAGAGTAACATCTAGAAATCCGATTAAGAAATCTGATAAAGAACCTGGATTTTAGCTCAGTAATCAGATTTCTCAGTACACGTAAACTCTTACTCTGATTTCTTTCGGATTTCTCAGTCTGTGCATGAGTGAAAGCTGACCGTGATACCGGAAATAAGCAAGCTTTTGAAGTGACACTGAAAACAACTACATGCTTGACGAAATGAAGGATTTAAATATTCTTTATCTTCTAGATAATGTATGTTCATATTTTCAGGTAAAGTGGTGCGATGCTTAAAAAAAGCTGCGGTATGAAGTTTGAGTTTTACATTACATCTATGTCACATCTTTTTCTGTGAGTTTATTGGCTGGCTGCAAATGAGAACTCCGATTACTGCCTGACTCATATAGACCAGGAGTTTTCACATTATCTGATTACTCAAGTGCATGTATATGCGTTGATCAGATTACAGACAAAATCTGACTTTCTGCAGTTTTTCGGGTTATCAAGTGCAAGTGCACTGTTTAACAGTAGTTTTGAGAGAAGATTTTGACCTAAAACCCTTTTTTTTTAATCTTTCCATGGCAAAGAGGTAAATGCAGGGCGTTATGAAGCAAAATAGTCCCTAGAGAAAAAGAAAAAGTCACATAAAAGAATAAACCAAAATTAGACAAATAAACACCCACAGCTTGGTGAGGCAGTACATGATAAGACGTAATGAGACTACAGTACAACAAGGCCTTAACATACAAGACACAATGTATTACTTTGAATTTAGAAACAATCTGACACAGCCAGGAAAACTTGCAGGTTGGGTGTCCACTGACTTTTTAAAATTTCTGCATGATTAAGCTGTTAAGATGTAAACAAAGTCATTCAGAGTGGTTTGGTGTGAAATGTTCCATTCTAGAGAAACTCGAGTCAGAATTGTTCACAGTGGTGGTGACAGGAACCAGAAGTCCACCTCTAAAAGCTTAGATGCAGATGTCTGAGACATTGTTTTACAATAGATTTGAGAAGGTTTTGGCCTAAAACATAATTTTTAAAAAATCTATGCATGGCAGAGAGGTGCCTGCAGTGTGTTATAAGGCAAAATAGTCCCCAGAAAAAAAGAAAAATAAATCACATAATATAAAAGAATAAACCAAAAGTAGACAAATAAACAGACTGAGACTACAATATAAGCCCTAAAACACAAGAAACAATAGAACGCCATCCATCCATCCATCATCTAAACCGCTTATCCTTCTGGGTCGCGGTGGGGTGCTGGAGCCTATCCCAGCTGTCATTGGGCGGAAGGCAGGATACACCCTGGACAGGTCGCCAGTCCATCGCAGGATGGGTGATGCAATAGAACGCATTTCCAACAATTAATTACTTTGAATTAAGAAACAATCTGTGGCAGCTAGAAAAGCCTGCAGGTTGGGGGTCACCTGACCTTAATATTTCTGCAGAATTAAATGGTTAAGATGTAAATAAAGTTATTCAGAGTGGTTTGGTGTGAAATGTTTGAGAGACTTAGAATTATTCACAGTGGTGGTGATAGGAACCAGACGTCTGAAGAGTTTGATTACATGAAATGGTTATGAATACGCTGCTTGATGTCTGCAACAGTTTTTTATAACAGGATCGCCCTAAAACGTATTATTTTTTTAATACAGTAATAGTGGAGGGACACATGCAGGTCGTTATAAGGCAAACCAGTCCCCAAAGAAAACATTTACTTCAGATTTATCACTATTTTACCATCATCAACATTATACAAGAATTGTGTAGGTTCCCTGGTGGTTTTGGATAGTAAATAAAATATCTATATTTGTGTTTGTAGTCATGGTGACTCCTGGGTCCTATCACCACCACTGTAAAGAGATCTGAGTCTCTACAATCAACCATTTCACACCAAACCACTCTGAATCACTCTGCTTACATCTCAACGATTAAATTATATTAAGTCTTGAAAAATTGGTGTAGTTCTAATGTAAAACATTACAAATAAACAGCTTTACCCATCAGCCTCCATTTGTACACCCTTTGCACACGTCCACTTGAACTCTAAATGCCCTCTCTGAGCAGCAAGTGTCCTGCAGAGGGGATTATGGGTAATTTGAGCACCTCTGGAACTGCAGAGGTCATCAACAACCGTGCTAAAAGTGCCAGTTAAAGCCAGCCGCACCCGCGACTAATCATAACCCGCATGGCTGCAGTGATTTTAGTAATAATAGTAATAACCTTTATTTACATAAGGCTCAAGTGCTGTACAAGCAAATCAAGGCAAATACTGCACAAGGCATTGAGAGAGAAAAACTAAAGATTGCAGAACAGTTTTAATAAAAAACTCCATATATGAGGCTTCACTAGAGTCTAATGAAGTTTTAATGAAATGTTGTAACTCAACACAAAAGCTGTTAGTATTACTACACTGACTGAAGAGCTAAAATATTAAGAAACAGGAATAAGAAATATGAACTAAAAATAAAACTGAAGATACCTAAAACACATAAATGGAATAAATCGTTAGACAAACAACACAAACATTTTTGTACTCAAGCTAAATCTTAATTTAAAGCTAAAAGGTATGTTTTAGCCTAAACATGTTAGGCTTTGGATTAATTGGGAAATTGTTTCAGGATCTGCAGATGTTATCTGTTCTAGATTTGGAAGATCATAACATTTACATTTGCATTTAACAGATGCTCTTAGACAGAGCAAACTGCAAAACTTCTTCAGTAAACTCAGTGTATCTCAGCTAATGCAAATAATTTAGTCCAAACGTCCACCTATAAGATACTGCCAGAAACAAGACTCAGTGCTGATACCTGCAGTCAGGCCCAAAAATATGTGTGTGTTGACAAAGTAAAAAATGAAATAAGTGAAGATGGAATAAGTGAAGATTTGACATTCAAACCCGGTGAACGGTGCAGGAATTACAACCATTGTAATATATAACCCCCCATTTTTGGGGGCTCAAAAGTAACTGGACAAACTATCATAAATGTTTTTGTTTTGGCTCTAAATGACCTTAAAGCCCCACTTACATCACAGAATGTCTGTATGTGTATGTTCCAGCCTGTGATCTTAGATCTGCAGATACTGACCTTCTGTAAACACCTTCCATAAAATACAGAAAACATGGAGAGACTCTCTGTTATTTTGCTTCTAAAACATGGAGCTCAGTTCACCTTTTATTAGACAGTCAAGCTCAGAGCTCACATTTAGGAAGCATTTAAAAACACATCTCTTTAATTTAGTGTTCAATTAAAATTCTACGTCTCTTTGGTATTTTTGTTCAACTTGATCTGTCATCGTTTTGTCTATTACTGTAAAATATTATCACCTGTCCATAAAGCACTCTGAGCTGGCACTGATATGAAAATTGCTCTATAAATAAAGATAATAATATTATTATTATTGTTATTATTATTATTATTATTATTATGCCTAAAGTTCTGGTTTTCTTCACCAGAGAAAGAATTCCACCATTTTGTTCTGTGGTCTCCCAGGCCTTTTGGTGTTTGTGCATTCTTTCTTTCTAAGAATGTACCAGCTATTTGATTTGGCCACATCTAATGTTTTTGCACTCTCTCCAATTGGTTTGTTTAGGTTTTCAGCCTAATATTGGCTTATTCATTGGCAGTGAAGCCTTTTGGACTTCATATTGAGAGTTAACAGCAACACATTCCAAATGCAACACAACACTTGAAATCGGCTCTAGACCTTTTTATCAGCTAACTTGAGCCCCCTTTCTTCTTCAAAAAGGTTGTAATTCCTACACCGTTCACCTGATTTGGATGTAAGTACCCTCAAATTAAAGCTGAAAGTCTGCACTTTGCGTTCACATTTAATAATATTTTTAATTCCAATGAGCTAACAGTGCCAACAACCCAATATTTATGGACCTGACTGTAGATACAAAATTGTTTAAGTGCTTGAAGACTTAGGGACTCAGAGTGGAAGTGGAAGAAGAGTCTTGATGTTTGTCTTCCATGCGTCTTGAAGGATGGCGGGTCAAGCTACTTCAAGCTCAAAAGGCTCTATGTATGGACCGAGTTTTGACAGGGAGCATCAGTGTTTTAAAATCTGATGCAGCTACAGGAAGCCAGGGAAACAGCAACGGAGTGACGAGTGAATAACACCGACCACCTCTTTAGTCTTAACTGTTCTTTTTCTGCTGAGCCGCCACTGTGCTGTATGATTTATTGTTCTTGTTTATTGTGTTGTTTTTTGTGGTCAGAGTGGCATCACGGAGGTGAAGGTAGAGGAGACGCCGGACGGACACATACTGCACCTGCAGGCAGAGGACGCGCTTATCCAGCTGGAAGAGGACGCCACACACATCGTCTGCGACAACAATGAACCCCTCCGCGCCACCCTGAGAGACCTGGTGATCCGCTTCCTCCAGAAACTATGACCTCCACCCTTTCAGCTGGACTCAGAGACTCAGTAATCTGTTAGCACTAAATACTGAGACACAATTGAAGCCACAGTTTCAGTGCACTTGTGGTTTAAGCTACGAAAGGTCAGCAGGTTTGAGGCTTAGTGGACAGTAGGCCTGTACGATATGAACAAAATTCTGTATTATCATTATATGGTTAGAGATTTCAACTGTGATTATACAATCCTGTTCAAAAGTCCCTTCATTTAATTTCTAGTCTAAACTGTCATTGAGTATGTTATACATTTTTCAGCATCAGGAAAAAGCAAAAAACATATTTAACTGAAAATCACAGTATATCAAAAGTATAATCTCAGATCTTTGAGTGTTCAGTTTGTCAGTCTTTACCTTTATTCCAGCTTCCATTCTTTTCAGGAGACTCACTTTCAGTTTCTCAAAGAAATCTGCAGACACAGCCCCAAAGTTCAGTCTTAGACGTTGGTTGATCATTTTCTGAAGCAATCCAAACACATGTAGTGATGTTTAGGCCGGGACTCTGGGGTGGTCAGTCCACTGTTCAGCTTCTTTGTTTGATGTGTCTCCTTTTCTCAGTAAGGCTTCTTGACAGCTCCCTGGTCAAGGAACACTCCAGCCGATCCCAGAGGTGTTGGATGGAGCTCCAACACTGCAGAGAACACAGTTCCACTGCTCCACAGCCCAATGCTTGGGGGCTTTATACCCCTCTAGCCCACGTTTGGCACTGGGCATGGTGACTGTAGGCTCATGTGCGGCTGATCCAGAGGGTCCCATTCTGTTGATCTCTGCTTTTTTGTGGTGTCTTTAATGGGTGCACCTTAAAGTAGCCAAATTCACTGATTAGAAGAACTGTATGGATCCTTTTGGACATCTAATGTACTTTTACAATAGATCGAAACACAATGATGAACGCTTGGACAAAATTGGCCTTCATTATTTTCACCAAAATTATTTACATTTGTTGAATTACCTGGATCCCTTGATTAATCAAAACTCACAGAAACTAATCTGGAGCTGTGATTGGTCAGGATGCTCAGAGAAACACTTGTGACTGGTTAGATGCTCATTTGCATGTTGCATTCCTCTGTGATGTCAGTATTGCTAATATTGTGATTATGATAAATCATGCTGGCCTGCTGTACACATCAAGACGTACACGTCTCGGTTGCATTAAGTCCTCATTGGTGTACGTTACTGTCTTTCATGCTTAAAATTGCCACAATGTGGATGAAGGTATATTTTTTTATCATTAAAACAAGCAGGAATTCACATGTGGAAAAGATTCAGAAAGCATTGTGTTAACAGAACAGAACAGAATGGTGTTGTGGTTCGCTCCTTTGTATAATAGCTTTTGGATTGTTTTTGTAATAAATATTATTTAGAAATGTGTTTTCTGTTATGTTGAAAGAGGATAATGGACATAATGAGCTGCCCATGTTGTTAAAGTGACTAGAGATGCACTGATTGTGAAATTTTATGGCCGATTCAGATTTCTTTACAGCCATGGCTGATTTGTTTTGGCCATTTTTTTTATTTATTAATTTTACACGCAAAGCTCATACTGTGTGGACAAGATAAACACACAAAAACACACTAGCACATTTCCAGCACTTTCTATTAGCCAAAGTCACAATATAAATAACATTATTTACTCCTTAATGGGCCAAACTGGCATTTTAGTTTCTTAAATGAAAAATGAGTTTCCTGTTTAAATAACATGAATAAAACAACACAGTACACTGAAAGTAAGAGGCGACTGACTGTACAGCACAATGAGTTGCCTGCGATTATGCTGCAACGTTTTGGTTCAGGTGTAGCAGCAGTATTAAGATATGGCCTGAAAAACTGCTATTAATTGTGCCAGTGCTGTCTACGTTTTTATATTTATCTATCATTATGAAAACCATTTCCAACTTGTTCTTCTTCATTGCAGTTGGCTGTGATAAAATTTTGGCACCAGGGGTCAGGATTGAGCAGTCCAGTAATCCCTGCCAGCACTCACAGATTTTGATTGATTTTGTGCAACTGCTGTTAGTTAAATGCTTTGTTTTCTGAGGAATGTGCTCGGTGATGATGAAATACTTGGGGACGGTGCTCATAGCTGTGCACTTCAGTGGTTAAAACACACTGGGGAGATTTTTCCTCAGTGTGTGTTGGTGCTCAATAATTAGTGTTTCACAAATTTACAGCTAGTTTATAAAGAAATATATAAATAAGATAAAAGATAAAAAAAAAGTTACCACCCTAGTAATACACCCTCGTCATATATACCAGGACCAGAAACTGGATTCGAGGTCCAGACATGGTGACCTTTATACACACTCACCAAGCCCATTAAACGGCTGTACATCTACTCATTCATGCAATTATCTACACACCCAATCGTATAGCAGCAGTGCAGCACATAAAATCATGCAGATACAAGCCAGCAGCTTCAGGTAATGTTCACATCAGCCATCAGACTGTTAAAAATGACTGTTAGTGCCAGACGTGCTGTTTAAGTACTTCTATAACTGCTGATCTCCTGGGATTTTCAGACACAGCAGTCTCTAGAGTTACTTAGATGGGTGCAACAAAGAAAAAGCATCCAGTTAGTGGCAGTACAGAAATGCCTTGTTGATGCAGTAACTCACCACTCTGTAGAATTACGGTGAGCAGGAAAGCATCTTGGAATGCACAACACATGGAACCTTGAGGTGGATGGGCTACAACAGCAGAAGACCACATCAGGTTCCACTTCTATCAGCCAAGAACAGAAAGCTCAGGCTGCAGTGGACACAGGCTCACCAAAGCTGGACAACAAAAGACTGGAAAAACATAGCCTGGTCTGATAAATCTGGATTTCTGCTGAGCCACAAAGGTGGTAGTCTCAGAATTTGGCACCAACAGCATGAATCCATGGACTCAACCTGCCTTGTGTCATCAGTCCAGGCTGGTGGAGGTGGTGTAATGGTGATGTTACAGTTTGTGAAATTTCTGCCCTGCTAGATCTGCCTCGGTCAACTGTAAGTGCTATTATTGTGAAATGCAAGTGTCTATGAGCAACAGCAGCTTAGCCACAAAGTGATGGACCACACAGCTCTCCAAGTGGAGCTACCGAGTGCAAAACCATGTAGTGCCTGTTCTCTGTTGTATCACTCACTACAGAATTCCAAACTGTCTCCAGAAGCAACATCAGCACAAGAACTGTACAAGAACTCAGGAACTTCATGAAATGCATTTCTGTGGTGAGAAACTGTTCACAAGCCTAAGATCACTATGCGCAATGCAAAGCGTGGGCTGAAGTGGTGTAAATTACGCCACCACTGGACTCGTAAAGCAGTGGAAATGTTCTCTGGAGAGATGAATTATGCTTCACTATCTGGCAGTCTGATGGATGAATCTGGGTTTGGTGGATGCCAGGAGAACAATACCTACCTGAATGCATAGCGCCAAGAGTAAAGTTTGGTGGAGGAGGGATAATGGTCTGGGGCTGTTTTTCAGGGTTTAGGTTTAGCCCCTTAGTTCCAGTAATGCTACAGCATACAAACACATTTTTGGCTATTATATGCTTCCAACTTTGTGGCAACGATTTTAGGAGGGCTCTTTCCTGTTCCAGCATGACTGTGTCCCTGTGCACAAAGCGAGCTCCATAAGGATATGGTTTGATGAGTCTGGTGTGGAGGAACTCCAGTGGCCTGCCCAGAGCCTTCAGCCTCACTGAACACCTTTAGGATGAATTGGAATGTCTTGTCCAATATCAGTGCCTGACCTCACAAATACTCTTTTGACTGAGCGCGCACAAAGTCTTGTGGAAAGCCTTCTCAGAAGATAGGAAGCCATTGTAGCAAATTAATCAAATTATTTGATCAGATTAAGCAAATTATTCAAAACCCTGTTCGGTACCATCTTCTAGCCTAAACCTTCTTACCGGTCAACATGTGGTCAATGCTGTGTTCTTACAAATGGCTTTGTCATAAAACAGCTTATCCCCTTATCACTGCATTTCTGATGCATTTACAGAGATTTTCTTTCCATCTCGACTCTGTTATCAAATGGCTTTTTGAGGACGTCTTGGAGATAAAGCTCAGGAAAAGTTGTTTTCTCTCTTCTATTCAGTTTGGGTTTATTCTCCAAAAGGCCTAGATAATCTTCCAATATAGTTGCATAACTAGATGCTGCTCTTTTGAGATTCCATCTCTGAGGATGATCTTTCTTTGTAGATCTCTTCTACACTACTGTGATGTTGTTCATTTCAGAGAAAAGCTAAAAGATGCCTGTAGTGACTGTGATCTCTTTCTCTCCAAACTCTTGTAAAGAAGTCTGCCCTGTTCTGTTGATGACTAAAACTTTACTGGAGCTGGATTCTATTCTGATTTTCTTTCCTGTAGAGGTAACAAGATCAGTAATTTTAACCCAGTATGCACCTGCAGTGTGTATATTTTAATAGTTTGGCAGTATTAATTATGAATACATCTTAATCCAGTATGAATCTGCAGTGTGTGTAGTGTTTGCAGTTTAACGGTAGTAATGGTGGTGGAAATTTAATTCAGGATGAATCTGCAGCATATGTGGGAGCTCGCAGCTTGTATGATCTGCGTAGAAATTGACCAATAGAATGGGATGTTCTGGAGCAGCCTCACATGAGCCCAAAGTCACCATTCCCAATGCCAAGCATTGGCTAGATGGGTATAAAGCCCCCCCAGCATTGGGCTGTGGAGCAGTGGAGCTTCATCCAATACCTTTGGGATGAGTTGAAGTGATCCAGAACCATTGAACATCAGTACCTGACCTCACTAACGCTCTTGTGGCTGAATACAATCACATCTTCACAGCAATGTTCCAACCTCTAGTGTAAAGCCTCCCTTCGTATTAGTATGAGGATATGCACAGGATATGAGTATATGATTTTGTACAACATTACACAACCTTCAGCTCCAGTAGTGCTAAAGACAACAAAGCACTCCTGTTTCTATTAGACCGCCGTTTTGGAAGAAGCAGAACATTCTTTGAAAAGGCGGCAACTTATTACTGAAGTTTATAGCAGCTCTGCCAATCATTCAAACACGTTTATGTGGACCAGCAGCTCAGCAGCAGTCCAGCTGCTCGTGGTTTGGGACTTTCCTCAGTAATGCAGCCCCATGCCCCACACCCTTCTGGGCTAGGATATCAGCAGAGCTTGTGTAGCGGTGAGTTTGTCCACCCTGGTCAGGAGAAGAGGGGGTTGAAACAGTATAGATTTGGCAGTAAATGCGTGTTGGATGCGAGCCCTGGGTGAACAGAGGTGAAGAGTGTTACAGTACACGGTGCGGCTGAGCTGTAACCTGAACCTTTTTAGTCTCTCTCAGCCTGGCTGTTGCTGAGGGATGCTGGGAAAAGCACCTCTCCCCATCAGTGAGGTCACTGGATCTAGATCCAGCTCTCCAGGGACGGAAGGGTGCTCAACAGTGAACATAAACAAGGCACGTAAACACAGACGGCGCCTTACCAACCTGAAAAAAAGATTTAAAACACACCCCGAAGACCAAAATTTAGAAGTAAGATGTGTTTGTAAAATTATTTCACAATTAAAAGGGCCCATATCTTGGAAAAAGGACTCAAATAAAGGAGTTTGGTTCCCCTTTTTTCCAAAATATTCCACTGGTTTGCAGTGATGTACTCTTATTCCTATACAGGGGTGGAGAACTCGAGACTTGCAGGGCCGGATTCCAGAACGGTTCAGTGATGAAAACACCCAAGCAGATAATACCTCATCATTCAGTAAGCAGTTTAGCAGGTTTAGGCAGAATGTCACTGTGATTCATTTGATGTGGCAGATGAAATGTTTTTGTTCCTGAGATTGTAGTAACAGATTTTATTTCCCCACAGGACTCCGCAGTATGACGATATATCTGTGGGGAACCATGACTATTAGAGCTAGGCCTTCAGTTCAAGCCATAAATGTCAAAACTTTGGTAAATTATGAGGAAAAATCCACCTCTACTATAATGCTAACTTCAGCTAGCGCCCTTCGAAGAGTCTAGTTGATTCGCATGAACATGTTTTACTTGAATCTTGTGACAGATTAGCATGTATTATACTTTGTAGCCGTTTCACAGTGACTCTTTGGCCCAATCCCATTTCTTATTTTTACCCCTATGCCTTGTTTTTAAGTGTCACCTTGTAGTGGTTGAAATCTTCCCCTATGAAAAGGGACAAACCAAACAAAAAAAAGGGGACGGGGTGACAATTATCTTTTATTGCCCACCTCTAATTCTTTCGGTGATATAAAGCTTAAGTCCTATTCGCCAGCTTCTTGTCCGAATTGTTCCGGTTCCACCTTAAATAGTGCAACAGTTCTGACACCAGAGGTGCCAGAATGTAACTGCTGCACCACTTAAGGTGGACAGGAAATTTTACCTTGCTGAGACATCAGCATAATACTAGCAATTCATTAGGCTTGTTATGGAGAAAAGGATCATAATACACTGAAACGACATTAAACTAAGATGATGCGATGGTTATTGTCATTT